AAACACGCAAACACAAACACAAACACAAACAAAAATAAAACACACGCAAACATAAAGACAAACAATCACACAAACACAAAACAAACAAAAAGACAAAAAAAAAACACATACGCATACACACACACAAATACAACCAAAAACATAAAGCCAAACACAAAAACAAGAAAACAAAAAATACAAACACAAACACAACACACGCAAACACAAACATAAACACAAACACGCACACAATCATAATCACAAACAAAAACACAAAGAGAAGCACACACAAACAAGCAAACAAAAACAGAAACACAAATACAGATACAAACAAAAACAAAAACACACAAACACAAACACCCAAACACCCAAACACAAACACAAACACAAACAAAAACAAAACCACAAACAAACATGCAAACAAAAACACAAACACAAGCACAAACACAAACAAAAACACAAACACAAAAATAAACATAAACACAAACACAATAGGATGATAGTGGAACTGTAAACACATTAATAAGTATTGGTGGAATTAGATCATACTTACAATAGGATGTACACTTGCACCTGCATAAGAAATACGAAAAGGATAAGTGACAAACTTACCTTCAGCACATATAGCACACACATGTTTGCATCATGAGTGCTGCCAGAAAGAGAACTCAATGAGAAACATAATCAAAACATCTAAAGATATGGAGAAGAAATAGATCTGAAACAAAAAGACAAATTAAAATACAAACACAAACACACACAAAAAATAAAGACAAGAACACGAACACAAACATGCAAACAAACAAAAAAATACAAACACAAACAGAAACATAATCAAAACATCTAAAGAAATGGAGAAGAAATAGATCTGAAACAGAAAATAAAAAACACAAAGACAAACACACAAACAAGAAAACAAAAACACAAATACAATTACAAACACAAACACAAACAAAAACATACGCAAACACAAACACGAAGACAATTACAAAACAAACACAAACACAAACAAACACACATACAAGTAAACACAAACACTAACACAAATACAAACATAAACAAGAATACAACAACAAACATTCAAACACAAACAAAAACAAAAATAAAAACACAAACAAAAACGCAAACAAATACAAACACAAATATAAGCACAAGCACAAACAAAAACAAAAACACAACACACGAAAACAAAAAAAAAAACAAAAACAAACAAACAGAATAAAAAACACCAACAGAATAAAAAATAGAAAAACAAACAAAAACACACACAAACACGTAAACACAAGCACAAACACAAACACAAACAACATACGAAGACAAACACACACAAACAAGCAAACACTAACACAATTACAACCACAAACACCAACACATAAAAAACACAAACACGCAAACACAAATACAAACACAAAAACAAAACAAAAACAAATACAAACACAAACACAAACACAAACACAATAACAAAAACAAAAACAAAAACAAATACAAACACAATAAGATGATAGTGGAAGTGTAACACATTAATAACTATTGGTAGAATAGGATCATACCTGCAATAGGATGTACACATGCACCTACATAAGAAATATGAAAAGGATTTGTGGGGGATTTACATTCAGCATATATAGCACCAGAAAGAGAAATCCAACAAGAACATAATCGAAACATCAAAACACAAATTAAATATGAACAAACCAGAACACAAATTAAAATACAAAGATAAAAGCAAACCAAAACACAAACAAAAACATGAACAAACACGCAAACACAAACACAAACAAAAATAAAACACACGCAAACATAAAGACAAACAATCACACAAACACAAAAACAAACAAAAAGACAAAAAAAACACATACGCATACACACACACAAATACAACCAAAAACATAAAGTCAAACACAAAAACAAGAAAACAAAAAATACAAACACAAACAAAAAGACAACACATGCAAACACAAACATAAACACAAACACGCATACACTCATAAACACAAACAAAAACACGAAGAGAAGCACACATAAACAAGCAAACAAAAACAGAAACACAAATACAAACAAAAACAAAAACACCCAAACACAAACACAAACACATACAAAAATAAAACACACACAAACATAAAGACAAACAATCACACAAACACAAAAACAAACAAAAAGACAAAAAAACACACATACGCATACACACACACAAATACAACCAAAAACATAAAGCCAAACACAAAAACAAGAAAACAAAAAATACAAACAAAAACACAACACACGCAAACACAAACATAAACACAAACACGCACACAATCATAAACACAAACAAAAACACGAAGAGAAGCACACACAAACAAGCAAACAAATACAAACACAAACACCCAAACACAAACACAAAAAAAAACAAAACCACAAACACACAAAAACACAAACAAACATGCAAACAAAAACACAAACACAAACACAAGAACAAACACAAACAAAAACACAAACACAAAAATAAACATAAACACAAACACAATAGGATGATAGTGGAATTGTAAACACATTAATAAGTATTGGTGGAATTAGATCATACCTACAATAGGATGTACACTTGCACCTGCATAAGAAATACGAGAAGGATGAGTGACAAACTTACCTTTAGCACATATAGCACACACATGTTTGCATCATGAGTGCTTCCAGAAAGAGAACTCAAGTAGAAACATAATCAAAACATCTAAAAAATGGAGAAGAAATAGATCTGAAACAGAAAGACAAATTAAAATACAAACACAAACAAGAAAAAAACAAAGACAAGAACACGAACACAAACATGGAAACAAAAACAAACACAAACACAGACACAAACAGAAACATAATCAAAACATCTAAAGAAATGGAGAAGAAATAGATATGAAACAGAAAGACAAATTAAAATACAAACACAAACACAAAAACATAAACAAACACAAAAAAAAAAAACAAAAGCAAACACAAACACAAACACAGACACGAACACAATAGGATGACAATGAAAGTGTAAACACATTAATAACTATTGATGGAATAAGATCATACCTACAATAGGATGTACACTTGTACCTTCATAATAAATATGAAAAGGATGTGTGGGAGACTTACCTTCAGCACATATAGCACACACATGTTTACATCACGAGTGCTTCCAGAAAGAGAACTCAGACAGAAATATAATCGAAACATTAAAAGTAACGGAGATGAAATAGATCAGAAACATAAATTAAAATGAAAACACAAATTTAAATACGAAAACAAACAAAAACGCAAACAATTTCTCGAAGAAAAACAAAAACACAAACACAAATACAAGTACAAAGACAAACATAAACCCAAACCCAAATCCAAACTCAGACCCAAATCCAAACTTAAAACCAAACCAAAACCCATATAGCACAATAGCTTCAGCACATATAGCACAAACATGTCTGCATCACGAGTGCTGCTAGAAATAAAATACAAACAGAAACGTAATCGAAACATCAAAAGTAATAGAGAAGAAATAGATATAAAACATAAACACAAATTAAAATATAAACACAAACATAAACACGTAAACACAAATGTAAAAACAAACATAAACATAAATACAAAACCAAACACAAACGCAAACACAAAGACAAACACAATAGGATGATAATGAAAGTGTAAACACATTATTAACTATTGGTTCACTAGGATCATATCTACAATAGGATGTACACTTGCACCTGCATAAGAAATATGAAAATGATGTATGTAAGACTTAGCTTCAACACATATAGCAGACACATGTTTGCATCACAAGTGTTGCCTTAAATAGAACAGAGACAAAATCATAATCGAAACATCAAAAGAATTGAAGAAGAAACAGAATAGAAACATAAACACATAACTGGAAATTTTAGCAATGCAAAATTTAAACTAGACGAGAAACTTAGGGTGAAAGTCCAACCAAGTGACACTTAGATCCTCTTGAGATACTTTCACGAAACTAAAATGCTTATTATTACAATTTTTTTTGGGAGATGGGATTGTACCGAAGACATTTTCCCAAGACATCCAAACAAAATTAAAGAATAAAATTTATAACAAAATACAACAAAAGAAATTTATTCAGCAACTATGCTTGTCTCATGGACTGATAAATTCATCATCTTGTTGGACGAGTGGCTCATAAAAAGCATTTGCATAATGATACTCCATATCAAGTGCGGTAGGTCTCTCGAAAGTGATGTCATTACTATTAAAATCCATATTAGCACAATCCAAATGAAGCAAAATGTTATGAAAAACACGAAAATTACAAGAAAGCAACACAAAAATTTTTGAGAATTTTTGGAGAAGTAAAACTATATAAACTAAATTGGTAAAATATTAGAAAATAGGTAAAAAAAATAGTAAAAAATGAAAAAAAAGTTATATAAAATGATGAAATTTTTGAAATATTTTGACCCCAATCCCCTTTAGGATTGGGCATCGGATGAGCACGAAAACTTTAGAAACTCTCTTTTTTGAATCAACTCATTCTAAGTTCTGTAGCAAAAGTTATCACCATTTGAAGTTTTTTTTTAACCAAATTTTTGTATCTTATAAAACAGAACTATAACATGAAAAAAAAATTAATATACTATTTATTAAATGTTAAAAGAAGCGAACCGTATGGCAACTGAAAAGAAAAGAAAGACAACATCACCTTCCCGTAGATGGTGTTAGTGAAAGCCCTTATTCTTTGCTTGCTCCATAATACGAGTGTCATGCAGAGTTGTACCCCTTTAATATGATGAGAAGAGGGGCCACCCTATTTTCTACACCAATCTTTATTTACTACTATATTACTATCTATATTTTTTAGGTTATTAAGGATCCATTTTTTCCAAACATCCATGTAATAACCATTTTTATATTTTATATTATTATTTATCTATCTTAGTTCTTTCTCTTTCTATCAATCAACAAAAAAAGTAATATTTTAAGATTATTTATAGGATATTTGAAAAAATTGGAGTCTCAAAAAATATTTTCCCATGTTTTTTGGAGTGTATAGCTCAATTAGTAGAGCATTGGGCATTTAACCTAATAGTCGCAGGTTGAGGTCCTGCTATATCCAAACAAACATGCCTTACACTATACCTATTTATTTTTATTTTAATTAATAATAATGTGTAATAACGTTTAAAGATAACTCTTTGGCCTTTAGACTCCCTGAGAAGGGTAAGGAGTAATATAAGAATAATTCGATCTTCCATAGTCCTCTCCTTATTTCTGCTGAAAAGAGGTAAGTACTAAGAAGACGACTATTTCGTGTTGAATGCTTTCGTCAGTGATATAGAGGGAGTAACAATATCATATGGATTTTATGCAATCCAATAGTAGAATCAGAAAAAATCCCTTATAGTAGTTTAGTATAGGACCAACCTAGGTCCTTTGCTAAAGAGCTATCCAATATCTCCAACTTGTCCACTACTAGAAAAATGTCAAATAGTAACCGAAATCAGTGACCGAAAAATTTAGTTACTATCAATGACCGAATCAATAACCAAATTATTATTTTTTAGTCTAATGAATCGAAATAGTAACCGAATTTTCGGTCACAAAAAATCGAGTTACTATTTCGATCACTTTATTATTTAGTAACTGATTTAGTGACTAAAATTTCGAGTCACTAAAAAAATAATTTTTAAACTGATAACTATTTTTCATTTATATAAATATTTTATTTAAAATATTTTAAATATAAATTTACTTAATGATTTAAAATAATTGATAACATTTTTAATAAAATTATAAATATTTTAAAAAAATTGTTTACTAACTTATTAAATAATTTAGTAATATAATTATTTGATTTTATTTTTTAATTTAGCATGTGAATAAAAAAATTAAAATTGATTATTAAATTAGTCACCAAATCGGTCACATCGATTCGATCACCGAATCGGTCACATCGATTCGGTCACCGAATCGGTCACTAATTCGGTCATCGATTCGGTCACCGAATCGGTCACATCGATTCTGATCACTGATTCGGTCACCGATTCGATCACTGATTCGGTCACTAAATCAATAATTAAATTAATTATTAATTTAGTCTTTATATATATATATATATATATATATATTACTTGTATGTTAATAAAAATGTATTTCAATGTATTTATAAAAAATTAAAATTATTTTAATTACTGAATTGATATTTTAAATTTATATTAATATCTTGAATAATTTAATAGTTGGATATATATATATATATATATATATATATATATATATCACTTTAATTTTTTTAATTAAAATTAATTTCATAAAAAAATTAATATTTGAAAATTAAAATGAAAATATATATATATATATATATATATATATATATATTTTTATTTATTTTTTAAAGATGATATATTCAATGTATGTTAAAAAAGTTCAAGCCAAACTCGTTTTTATAGAAGATTTTTAAAACTGCTGGTTTAATTAATCTGTTAAAAGATTCTTTTAATATGTTAAAAGTGCAGTTTTAATCTGTTAAAACTTCTTTTAATCCATTAATACGTTCTTGATTCTTTAACAGATTTGTTTTAACTAATACGACAACGTTTATATCAATTAAAACACTTTACAAAAAATCTTCTAAGTTGATTTAATCGATTGTTCGCGATTCAATCGATTGAAATACTCGCAAAACTTTCTCCTAAAACTTTTCAAGTTATTTTAACTGATAAAAATAAGTTTTAATCGATTAAAACGTTGTGTAGAACTGTTTTAATCGATTGAAACGATATTTAATCGATTAAAATAGTTATGATCGGTCATAAATGAATTCTGACCGATCATAATTGAAACCATATAATAGCGCTTCAAGGGTTAACCGCTATCTAAGTCATATTTTAAGAGCGGTTCTCGTGTAACCGCTATGTAAACCTCATCTCGCTTGAGCGACAATATTCTCGCTCGAGCGAAACGCCTGCACAAAATTAGTACTCTCGTTGATTGTTGGCAGCTATTCTCGAGCGATAATTGATTCTGATCGATTATATTTTTGAAATGATCGATCATATTTGGTAATTTTTTCAAATAATTAATTATAATCGATTAGTTTTCTAAATTATTGATTAGAATTGATTAGTTTTTCAAATAATAGATTAGAATTGATTAATTTCGAAATATATACTAAAAAATATAATTAAAACTATAAATTAGTTAAGAATATTGACTATTGTAAAGATAAAGTAGAAACATGGGAGGAGATGAGGATGATAATATAATGATAGAACTTACAAAAATGTAGAATTGAGAAGTTTGAAACAAATAAAAATAAGAAAATAGATATTTAATTACACTTTTAATAAATTTAAGATAATACTAGTTTTAATTTTTATTTTTAAATATTTATTTTAAATATTTAAAACAGAGAAACTATAATTTTAGTTTCTAGCTACTTGAATTTAAAGAATTAAATTTATTATTTAATCTTTTAATTTGTAGAATTAAACTCAATATAATTGTTAAAAATACTTTGTAGAGGCATTTGAGAAAGCTTTTGTCAAAATACTTTGTTTTTAATTGTTAAAAACATTTGTAGAGGTATTTTGCAAAACATAATTGAGATGATATGATAGCGGTTCCACCTTAACCGCTATCTAAAGTATAATTAAGATAGCGGTTAATGGTTAAGTGCTATTAGAAGTTCACTTTTAAGAGCGGTTCCTGTGGAACCGCTATCTAAAATGTATTGCGCTTGAGCGACAATATTATCGCTCGAGCGAAACTCCAAGTGCACGTAATTCGCATTCTCGGGGTGTATTTCGCTTGAGCGACACTTTTCTCGCTCGAGCGAAATACGATCCTGATCGATCATAACTTGAAATGACCGATTATAATTGAGAGGATATAATAGCGGTTCCTCGAACCGCTATCTAAAGTGCATATTAGATATTCGAGGTGTATTTCGCTTGAGCGAGACTACTATCGCTCAAGCTGAAGTCCGATTCTGATCGATTATATTTTCAAAATGACCGATCATATTTGATAATTTTTTCAAATAATTAATTATAATCGATTAGTTTTCTAAATTATTGATTAGAATTGATTAGTTTTTCAAATAATATATTAGAATTGATTAATTTCGAAATATATACTAAAAAATTATAATTAAAACTATAAATTAGTTAAGAATATTGACTATTGTAAAGATAAAGTAGAACATGGGAGGAGATGAGGATGATAATATAATGATAGAACTTACAAAAATGTAGAATTGAGAAGTTTGAAACAAATAAAATTAAGAAAATAGAGATTTAATTACACTTTTAATAAATTTAAGATAATACTAGTTTTGATTTTTATTTTTAAATATTTATTTTAATTATTTCAAACAGAGAAACTATAATTTTAGTTTCTAGCTACTGAATTTAAAGAATTAAATTTATTATTATTTAATCTTTTAATTTTAGTATTAAAATTTTAAATTATATTTTTCTACTTTGAGAATGAACCATATAATTAAACTCAAAATTGACAATATTATAATACATTTTTGAACTCTTTTGGATTAATTTTTTTTCCTAATTTTTGACAAAGTTAATTTTAATATTTAAAAGTATTTAACATTTTGAATTCTGAAAGGTTTTCTCTAATAGAAAATTTAAAAACATAATATAAAAAAAATAGTTAATATAAGTTTTCAAGTTATTTTAACTGATAAAAATAAGTTTTAATCGATTAAAACGCTTGTGCAAAATTGTTTTAATCGATTGAAACTAGATTTTAATCGATTAAAATAGTTATGATCGGTCATAATTGCATTCTGACCGATCATAATGGTAACCATATAATAGCGGTTCAACGGTTAACCGCTATCTAAGTGAGCTTTTAAGAGCGGTTCCGTGTAACCGCTATCTAAATTGTATTTCGCTTGAGCGATAAGTTTCTCGCTCGAGCTAAACCGCCTCGCACAAAATTGGTACTCTCGGTGTATTTCGCTTGAGCGAGTCTAGTCTCGCTCGAGCGATAATTGATTCTGATCGATTATATTTTTGAAATGATCGATCATATTTGGTAATTTTTTCAAATAATTAATTATAATCGATTAGTTTTCTAAATTATTGATTAGAATTGATTAGTTTTTCAAATAATAGATTAGAATTGATTAATTTCTAAATATATACTAAGAAATTATAATTAAAACTATAAATTAGTTAAGAATATTGACTATTGTAAAGATAAAGTAGAAACATGGGAGGAGATGAGGATGATATAATATAATGATAGAACTTACAAAAATGTAGAATTGAGAAGTTTAAAAAAAAATTAAGAAAATAGAGATTTAATTATACTTTTAATAAATTTAAGATAATACTAGTTTTTAAACCTTTTTCTAATATTTGTTTTTAAAAATATAATATCATTTTTAATATTTTATAGATTTTATATTTATATATTTATAAAAGTAATTGGATTAAATTTATTATCCTCTCATATATTATTATACATTTAGCGTAATTTTAGTTTATTTAAAAATTAGAATACAAATATACTATACCAATATACCATTATATTATTTTCATTGTATATAAATTACAAAATTAATAATTTGTATACTATACTATACTAACATATTATTTGTATACTATACTAATAGTATAATATACTATATTATAATATTATTTGTATACAAAACTAATATCTTTATATATAAATATATAAATATGGAAAGATATAAATATATGTAAAAATATAAACATATAAATATATATAAATATGTAAAGATATAAACATATATCTTTAATATTTTGTAAATGTAAATATAATTTATATATATTTTTAAATCTTTTTCTAATATTTATTTTTAAAAATATAATATTATTTTTAAAATTTAATATTTTTTTTCAAATATATAAAGATATAAATGTATAAGGATATAAATAAATATATAAATATATCAATATATAAATATATCAAAATATAAATATATAAATATATAAATATATTAATATATAAATATATAAATATATATAAATATATATATATATATATAGTATATATATATATATATATATATATATACAAATATATCAATATTATCCCCTCATATATTAATATACATTATTAGCATAATTTTAATTTAATTAAAAATTAGAATACAAATATACGATACTATACTAATATACCATTATTTGTAGATTTTATATATTAAAATATATAAATATATTTTTATTTATAGATTTTATATTTATATATTTATACGGATATACATTTATTTGTATATAAATATAATTTATTTGTAAGTTATTATTAAAAGATCCTAAGTAGCTCGGTGGTTGGAGTTTCAACCTCCAACTCTAAGGTACCGGGTTCGAATATCTGACAATGACAATAAACCACCTAATAATAAGTTAAACTTCTAAAAAATATAATAAAGATAGGGGAAATTAATATAAATAAAAACTTAAATAAGCAAAATATAATATAATTAAGAAATAGGGAAAATAAATAATAGATATAATAAAAGTGTAAATAAATAAAAAGAATTAAATTTGTTATTGATTAACTTTTTTATTGATTTAGTGACCGATTCAGTGACCGATTCACTATTTCGGTCACTATTTTAAGTAGTAACCGATTTTGTAGATTTAGTGACCGAATTTTCGGTCACTATTTGATGTTTTTCTTGTAGTGGTCAGAGTACCTCGGGCAATAGAAAAATTTAGGAATTAATCTTCCCATTAACATTAAGGCTTGAAGATCTAGGCCCCTCCAATAACATAAAAAAGGTAAACCTTTGAAGTGTTAGTGTCAATTCCCAACTATCTAGTTCTAATGGAAGTTATAGTTGCAAAGCCAGTTTAAGAAAGTTCATTTTCAAGATGGTAAGGGCATGGTACGTGTGAGTGCAATCAAATGTTTCCCTACAGTTGCATTGACTCGTATTTTTTTGGGGCTTCCATATGAGCCAATTTTCAAGACATTATACAGCAGTGGTAAGGTACACCTATGTCATTTCCTTTTTTTTTTAAGATCTATGACTTAATATAAAATAGGATAAAAATGTCAAGTGATTCAACTCAAGCACGAACCGCTACCTCCTCTTCTCTGACTTCAACAAAAAGAAAGTCAAACAACTCATTATCCCATGTCAACAACGCATTCGTTCACTCAAACAACGCATTTGTAAGCTCCAAATCCAAGAGTCTATCCGGTACCAGAAGTGAAGGGTGAATGTTAAATTCTCTTATTTATTTTAACGAGAGTCGAAAAGTAGTAAGCAAGTGACTATGGGAAAGTCAGGGTATAAGAATCACTTATTGGAATGGTACCGAAGGGAAAAGTCTCATCCGTTTTAGAAGTCGCAAAGAAATGGAAGGCTTAAATACCAAAAACAAGATGGTCAGTAACTTCGATCTTGTTTTTGTCCTTCTCGAGTTCTAGTCCAATCTTCTGCTGCAACCTTTGCCTTTGTCTCTACTTCTGGGTCTCAATCTCGAACTCAAACTGATGCCTAGCTATTTTCCTAGATGCTGAGAAGCGGGACATGACGGCCGTGAACCGCTGAAAGATCAGAGGATCTATCTTCCTTTGACTTCCCCTTAATCAAGGAGTATAGTAAGGCCCCCAACAGGGTCAATGACATGCAGCCGAGCAGGCACCGGTCAGAACTCAGCACCAAGCAGAGCACTCGCAGCGAACCGATTGCTTGAATATATTCCCATGTTCGCGTGCTAGCTGGATTAGAGGTGGGTTTGTTAACGTCTTGCTATTGACTTTGTAGATAAGATGACTTGTCTTTGCGTCAGGATGCTTTGGAATAAGCTAAGCTCTTCCCCTGAGAGTGGCCTATCTACTGTGCCGATCTTTTTTTATTTTTCTCTTTTTTATTTTTCTCAGCCTGACAGGGAATTAGTGCTCTGCGATTGCATGACCTTTCCTCACCAGCCAAAAAAGAAAAAGAGTTGAATTTTAGGCAGCCTAATTCTTTCTTCTTACCCATATACAGAAAGAGAGGAGTAACGCCGGGACAGGTCACGACTACATGTTTGACTCCTGCCAAAGAGTTCTTTTCTCCAACTACTACTCTAACTCTATAGAAAAGACAGTTAGGCCTTTTCCTTAAGCTCCGGGAGGACAGGTTCTATTAAGAATAAGAAAAAGATTCCAGCCACAAAATGAATGCCAACGGTTTCTAAAGCTCAAGAAGTTGCTTCTTGGCTGCGATGCTAAGCAAGAACACGCCAGTGGGTTTATGTTTGCTCTTTTAGCGAAATAAGAGTAGTTGGGTTGGTATAAGATTATAATATAGGTCAGAAGAATCAAATGTATTCAAATTATATTCCACGAGCGCGATTTCGTCCGAAGTCTACTGCTTCTTGAATGTAAAGAAGATAGTAAATATGTCCTTAATGCGATGGGGATGAATTCTTAAATAAATATGAATCGCTACTGGATTCCTTTATAAATCATATAAAAAGAGGTGAGGTTGTACCGAGATGTACCTTAGTTGACTTGTTTGAGTCCAATAAACCATGATAACAATGGCAGTGCTGCCATCCCCGTGTTCGCCAGCGCAATCCATGCAATCGAATCGGATCACAATAATCGTTTCCACAGCGATCGACGGAAGTCGCCACCTTCCTCACCTTCGTCATTGGTGGTGGATAGTGACAGTGAGTGAAAATAGATCAAAACATTTTAGTAGAGAACAACGTAATAAAAATGGAGCTGAATAAGAGAAATACCGTAATGAGACGAAGATGACAAACTGAAATGGAGCGATCAGAGATGGAGCAGTGTATCTAGTTGCAGTGACCATTCACGCTTTCAAAAATTCTTAAATTATAAAGGTCTCGTTACAAGTCATTTTTATATTTTATAATTTTGTCATATTTATATTTTATTGAGAGGTGTAAACTTAGTAGGATTGTAATATTAAAAACATGTGTTATATTATTATTTAAAGAGAAAATATACTAATAGTAAGTGATCAATGGTAAGTTACTAATTACTTCTTCTTCTTCTTTTATTTTGTTTACAAAATTTGTTTATTTTTCTGATGACATTTTACTAAGAAATGAGTTAAAAATATATATGTCTTAAAAGGGACAACAGTACCAAACATATGAATATGAAGTCCATGTTTTTCAACTTCATCGTTATGTTAAATAAATCGATGGTTATATATGTTGGACCTGTCAGTTATATTTTCAGCAATATTTAAGTTCATTTTGAATATAGTTTAATGATATATTTATAGTTTATTATTGCTTTGGGTGTTTTTATTCTTAATTCTAAAAGTTGATATAATTATTTACATAATAGCTTTAATTTATAAATACTTATTTTTATTAATTTCTTTATAACAAGTGTATAGTTTTTAACAAATTACTATTGAAAAGTTATATTTTGTGGTATTTGTAGTACCACGTCACTAAATATAATACAATAAGATTTTGTTATAATAATAAAAAAAAATTATAATTTTTAAAAATAATGATTAAGAAATCCACGTTTAAATATAACTCACTTAATCGTTCATTAAGTTTCAATTGAAGATATATAAAATTAATTCTATCTTAAAGATACATAAAATAAAGTTTTACTGTAATCTTATTGTATCATTTATAAATATCACACATATTCAAGCAAAAGAGAAATACTTTAAAGCTTATTTTTATTTTTGCTAATTAGAAATCTTTACTCCTATTCAAATTTTAAAATACATATAACTTTAAATTAAAAATTGAAAGTTAAATTTATTTTTCATTAAAATTACCTTAATTAAAATTTCTAAATTTATTTGTTTAATTGAAAACTCTAAAGTTAAAAATAAAGATGTTATACGTACGGGTAAAAAATTGATTGTCATTATATAAAAAAATTATATATATATATATATATATATATATATATAATAGGTTTTTATTTATATTTTAAAACAATAATGGGCGAGCTAATAATGATAATTATTTTGTTTTATTTATTTATTTATTTATGTTCATTTTTAATAATTAGTATATCAAAGAATAGAATAAGATAGTGTCCTCTATTTAATATTATTCATTATTATAATATTTTTTATTATAAACGCTATTTAAAATTTTATAATTTTTTTTCAATTTATTAAATTAGAGATCATCGTATCCATAGTATTGTGACTTTTGTTAACCTGACAAATATTTAATAACTATTTTTTTATTTAATTATAATAATAGTAATAATAATTATTACTATTATATTTTTTCAATGCAAATTTTGTTATTTATATAAAAGTTATCATTAGTGTCTAATTAAGTGATTTGCGTAGAATATTGTATTAGAATTGTATCATATAAAAAAAATTTACTTTTTTACTCTTTTTATTCTTTTTGTTTTTCTTATTCATACTTATTTTATCATAATCACCCAATAAAAATTTAAATAAAACGTGTGTTAGCATGTTTTACCGTCAACCATTTTGGTGACAGGTTTATTACACGTTAATAACATCAATAGATTTTATAGAATATCTTCTTGTTTAATGCATCAATAATCATCTAGTGTTTAATTCCTTTGTGATTGGTATTAGTCTTTTGATTTAAAAAATCAACCTAGAGTAAAAAAAATTACAATAATCAATAAATATGTTTCTCTCCTATTTCTTCTACCATATTTATGAATTGGATTTAATCTTTAATTTTCACAAACTAATTTGTCTCCTTTTATTAAACTATGTTCTCCGTGATTCTTATTAAACCTTATAATGTCATGCTTGTTATCTTGACATATTGATAGGTGTAACGACCCTAGGAATCGTTACTATAATGATGTCTTCGCAAAGTAATAAACAAGTAAATAACAACATTTATTTTACATTATATTATTGTAATTGTAACATAGATTGAAATTCTGGTTCACTAACGGGACTTCAAAATATAATAACATAATTTATTTATATATTATATATATAAAAGTAGTTCCCTCGAAGCTATCCCACTGAACTATCCTTGCTGTCCAGTAGTCACATCTCCATCTCTCAACCCCTGATCTGCTCCAACATAAAAGTGATCATCGCAGTCCCATCCACATGAAAAAATAGGGGTAAGTATTAAATCATTCGATATAATAAAATAGATATAGAAGTAATAATTATATATTATGATCAATTACAAAATCATCAACACACTAAGACACCTTCCGGAAGTATACCCTTATGCCTGAACTCAGAGGCTATCATCTGTGGGCACATTGTGATCGGTACCCGTAGTACCATTCTGACCACCTCCACACAGAGTAGGATTACTGGCGCCCTTCATCACTCATACTGGAGTACCCCTCCGAGCGCGCCACCAGTCATCCCCTATCGACTTCTCACCACCTGATCTCGTAGTCTACCTGACCCGACCAATCAGTGAAGTCTGGAACCTCATTCTGAATCCTTCGACATAGTTATTACACTAATGTACTTTGTACCACCCCGGGTACCATTCAAACATAACAAAAATAATTCACATTTGCTGGATTCTGGACCACCTGTCCCCACAGCTCATTCGGGTCAATAAAAACTAGTATTTGACTGATTCTGGCACCAACCCTTCGGCTCAGTCTAGCCAATATATAACGTCTCATGACTGATTCTGGGCATCAGCCCTCAAGCTCAGTCTGACCCACACACGTCACAACACACTACTTTCATTCTCTCTCTCTTTATATATATTTTTCTAAAATCATTTCCGAAATCATTTCCAAAATCATTTCCGAAACTATTTCCAAAACTATTTTCGAAATCATTTCCAAAATCATTAAATTACTATTTTGCCCTTAATCTTTTCTGAAAATTCCATGTATGTCCCTAAATGACTATTTTACCCTTGAACATTTTCGAAAATTCCTTCTATGTCCCAAAAATGACTATTTTACCCTTGAACATTTTCAAAAATTCCATTTATGTCCTTAAGATGTAAAATGACTATTTTACCCATGAACATTTTCAAAAATTTCATTTATGTCCCTAGGATGTAAGATGACTATTTACCCTTGAACATTTTCAAAAATTCCTTCCATGTCCCGAAAATGACTATTTTACCTTGGAACATTTTAAAAAATTCCTTCCATGTCTCTTTCTTCTTCCTCGCTCCCTGTAAGCCATTTTTAAAATCCAGATTTTCCAATTTCTCATTTTAAAGCACCCAAATTAGTTCTAAATCAAAATTAAACATGCAATATGTCCAAATTAAGTCAAAAACAACAATTTTACTATATAATTCATCCTTAATTTCAAGAATTTTGTCAATATTTAAAACTTTGCAAAATATGAATAGTAAGCACCTCCAGTACGCCATTTTCAAAATCTAGGTTTCAAATTTCTCAGTTTCAATCACCCAAATTAGTTCCAAATCAAAATTAAACCATAAACATGTTCAATTTGAGTTAAAAACAACAATTTTATTATATAATTCATCCTTAATTTCAAGAATTTCAAAAAAAACTTCAAACGGTGAACAGTTCATCAGAATCAGAAATTCTTCAAAATCAGACATTCAAATAATTCATATCTCTACTCCTATTCCTTATTCACATGGTATTCACAGAGTACCAAACAATTCAATTTCATGTATTGAATGAATTAAACTTCCCCTTACCTTGTATGGTATTTCTACCGAAGCTTTTCCACTTAATTCAAACTCTTTCCTGTTTCACCAGATCCTGTAGGAGTAGAGTATCATTGCTTGAAATTTAGACAAAAGAAGAAGAAGGATGAGAGAAAATTTTTATTTTGCCTCCTCCCCGCTTCGATACGCGTATATATAAAAGCAAAAATTTATCGTGCATGAGGAAAACTTCGTTACGAAGTTTTCTTGCACAATAATCTTATTATAATATAAAAAAACATACGTCACAGTAGGCATATTATATATATTATTTTAAATTAAATAATACATTTACTTACAAATTCGGTGCCTAAGACATTTGAACATAGTCAATTGTACCAAAGTTTAGAGGGTGTACGTTTATCGGATATAATATGCTAAAATAAAAAATAAAAAATATAAGATAAAAACAAAATAAATTATATTTAGTATTTGAAATATATAAAATAAAAACAAAATAATAGAGTATAATATATATATATATATATATATATATATAATGTTTATATTTTAAATTTTCATTAAAGTTACATACAATTTTTAAAAGTTGATTTCTAATTTAGAATTTTATATGAAAATTATAAAAGAAAATATAATTTTAACCAAATTATAGAATAAATATTATATTTTTTATGTTAAATTTTTATAATATTTTAAATTGTAATTAGTATATAATTAAATAATTATTATTAAGTTTAATATTATGATAAATAACATAATTTATATTTTTTTGTCATTATATTTATAGATATGAATACATATAGTATAACTAAATACAAATACATGATATATATTATCAAATAACTTATTCATACCGACAAAATTATATAAAATTTTATTTTATTTATACAATTACTTTTTATTACCTTTATAGATAAATTATGTATAGGTTTTCAAAACTATTACTATGATTCAAATATTTTTTTAAAATATTATAAAAGATAACAAAATAACTTTTATATTTTAATTATCATTGTAATTTAAGTTGTATAAATATTATATACCTATAAACTTAACTAACTTTTCATTGAAAGGAAATAATGGCAAGATATAATAAGTAATAAAAGAATAATATATTGACATGACATATCTTTTTCACTAAATAAACTCATTTAATTTTTATGTCTTATAAAATAATTTTATAATAACTTAATAAAAAAAATTAAACGATAAATTTTAGTAAACTATTTTAAACATTTCATATGTTTTTTCTAATTGAAATTAACTTCTACTTAAAGTTAATTTTTATTGATGAGAAGATAAAAATGTAGTTTTAATAAAAAAAGTTTTATGAAAATGCTTAAAAATTGACTATAATCAAATTTAATAAGATAATAAATCTATTGGAACCAATATTGAATATTGACTTATATTTATGAATATGGTAAAGATTTATGACTCTACATTAAAGAAAAAATATCCAAGGAATATTTAAAGAAGAATTTACAAACAGTATTTTTAAGAGTTAACAATCCATAATAATGATGATTATTTCAAATGTTTTGGAGTTAATTAATATTTAACTTTACTACTCATAACACTAATGACATGAAGTTGAAGTGAAATAGACAATGTTCATTTAATAATAATTTATTATAATTTTTAACATGTTTAAACAAATTCATTTAAATAATTTAAAATAAAAAAATATAATGTAATTTTGTTTTTATTTTTAATAAAAAGATAAAGGTAATAAAAAATAATTTTAATTACAAAATTATTTTTTTAATCGAATACATCATTTCTATTTACATAAAATAGTTATTTTCAAAAACTATTTTTTAGTCGTTATTATCTCAATGCAATATACTATTAATTATACAATAATGACATATTTGACACTATTTGAGGTGACAAAATCTCTCACGTAAAACACTTATATTTACATGTCTCAAAATTTTCTTACCAAAATTCCTTTCACGAAAACACTCTTTTCTCAAAAAATTTCAATAAAATACGTTTATAATAACAAGTTAAGATAAAAATGTCACTTTATAGTACATTTCTAGGTAACAATTATATGTTTTGTAAAGAAAGTGTGTTGAAAACCGTGAGAAGATAAAACATGAAAAAAAAAAGATTTTTTTATAAGACATCGAAAGAATATAATTTTTTAAGAATAATAAAATAATTCAAAAAACCAAAAATAAATTTTTTAAAAATTATTTAAGACAAAAATTAAATTTCTATAATTTTAAATAATTAAGTTAATATATTAATAAAATAGTAGCTTTAATTAAAATAAGAAAAATTATTACTAAGAATTACATAAATGCACTTAATTGTAAATATATTAAAAATGAAAAAAATTATTTTTAAAATATAAAAATTATAGAAAAGTAATATAGAAAAACTTGTTTATATATAATATAATAATTGACCTCACCAATTCAGTTTATTTTTTTAATATTATTTCAAATTTTGAATTATTCGTATTACTCATGTTAATTTAAAATTGTATTTATTAACCATTCTAATAGAATTTATCCAACATCTAAGTATTTTTAACTTCAAAACCTTTCTTACTGTTTGGAATTTAAATTTCAACTCTATTATACCCATATATTCAACTTCCTATTATTGATTTTTCTATAAGAAAGTATAATAATATTTTTTAAGATTATTTTTATTAAAATATGTTTGACACCTCGTTACATCATGAAAATGTCAATAACTTTATTTTTCTTGACATTTTTACTCTCGTTAAATCATGAAAATGTCAATAACTTTATTTTTCTTGACATTTTTATTCTGAATTCTTTCAAAATAAGGTATATAAATGCAATTTCTAAAACTATATATATTCATAAACAAAACTATTTATAAAAAAACTTTTTTAACAATCTACTAATCCTTATAACTAAAATTTATAACACTATAAATTTTAATATTAACTCAAATAATAAGTATTTATTCATATTTTAAAATATCTCCTTGTATTGATAGTTATTAATATAAGCTTTCCTCTTCCATTTTGTAAGTATCTTCATAAAATATCTATGGATCTGTGTTTCGTCATATAATATTATAATAAAACTTTATATTTTTTCTAAATTTTTCTTAGAAAATACAACTTGATATTAAGGTATCTTTTCATAAAAAAAATATTAGAAATTCGATTATTGTTTAATTATCTTAAATATTTTAATGGTTGTTGTCTGAACTATTTGTAAATTAATTAGAATTTTTGTCAGGAATAAGACTTGATTAGTATCTACTAGAACATTTATGAACTTTACTTTTATAGTCAGTTGTGCCATAATATCTTATTTTTAAAGCTCATGCAAATACTCTAGTGCCAAATATAAAACAATAACTAGAAGTTTTTCATATCATCACATAAACCTGCCAATCACTTAAAAAAATCACAATTTAATTATTAATTATATTTAAAGAAACTCCATAATCAAGCACATATCTTAACACATGTCTATACTCTTGAAAATGCACTCTATTTTCATAATGTACGAATCTTGAAAGAATACTCACAATTATCGAAGGAGAAGAAGTTAAGGATGGAGGAGAAGTTAAAGATAGAAAATAACTGTTTTATAAATATGCAAGAGATGAAATGAATTTTTTATTAGCCAAAATAAATATGCAAAAGAAATAATAGAGAACTTTAAATCTATAAGTACTCCATAATCAAGCACATATCTTAACACATGTCTATACTCTTGAAAATGCACTCTATTTTCATAATGTACGAATCTTGAAAGAATACTCACAATTTACAAAATATCAAGTATTCTTGTTGTATGATATATTAAGTGTTAGAAATATTATTTTATTATCTTTTATTTAAATTAGGTGTTAAAATATTTTTATTATCTTTTAAGAGAGAAGATAAAAAGATATTAGATTATTATTTTGATTTAGGCGAGTTATGATTAATATATTACTATGATTTCATACTTTGTCATGTTTTTACTTTATACATAGATAAAGTACATGAATAAAATATATACCCATATGAGTTATATTTTCATATATCATAAATACACATACACAAAACCCTAAAATTCTTATCATTAAGCCACTATATTTATTTCTAAAATCGGTCTCATTAACTTTTTTTACACCATTTTTTTTGTAAAGTTTTACCATTTGAAACATTGGAGTACTTATAGATTTAAAGTTCTCTATTATTTCTTTTGCATATTTATTTTGGCTAATAAAAAATTCATTTCATCTCTTGCATATTTATAAAACAGTTATTTTCTATCTTTAACTTCTCCTCCATCCTTAACTTCTTCTCCTTCGATAATTTCTTCTTCACCCTTAACTTCGACTCATTCCTTAACTTTTTCTCCTTCTTTAACATTTTCTCCTTCCCTAACTTCTTCTTCATCTTACTTAACTTCTTCTCTTATCTCAACTTATTCTCCTTACTTAATTTCTTTTTCATCCTTAACTTCTTCTCCAACCTTAACTTTTTCTTCATCCTCAACTTCTTCTTCTTTCTTAACTTTTTTTCATCCTTAACTTCTTCTTCATCCTTATCTTCTTCTCCATCTTTAACTTCTTATCCTTCCTTAAAATTTTCCCCATCCTTAAATTTTTCTCCATGCTTAATTTCATCTCCTTCCTTAGAGTCTTTTTCATCCTTAACGTCATCTCCATCTTTATCTTCTTCTCCATCCTTAACTTTTTCTCCTTCCTTCACTTCATCTCCTACTTAACTTCTTCTCTTTCCTTAACCTCTTTTTCATCCTCAACTTGTTCTCCATCCTTAAGTTTTTCTTCTTCCTCGACTTATGCTTCATCCTCAACTTCTTCTCCTATCTTAACTTTTCCTCCATCCTTAGTTTTTTCTCCTTCCTTAAATTTTTCTCCTTCCTTAACTTCTTCTCCATCCTTAACTTCTTTTCTATTGGGTACCAAAGGGGAAAAGAAATCTTCACTTGTAGAAGCACACACACGAGAGAAATAAAGATAGAAAATCAAACACAGAAATTAACGTGATTCGACACTTCTTGCCTACATTCACTAACACACTCAATAGCTCTTCATTTCTCAACTTGCAATTTTTACAAGGACAAAATTACAATTCATACAATTTTTGCATGAAAAAATTGTAAACCCTCTCTTTTCATCCTCAACTTGTTCTCCATCCTAAGTTTTTCTTCTTCCTAGACTTATGCTTCATCCTCAACTTCTTCTCCTACCTTAACTTTTCCTCCATCCTTAGTTTTTTCTCCTTCCTTAAATTTTTCTCCTTCCTTAACTTCTTCTCTGTTGGGTACTAGAGGGGAAAAGAAATCTTCACCTGTAGAAGCACACACACGAGAGAAATAAAGATAGAAAATCAAACACAGAAATTAACATGATTCGATACTTCTTGTCTACATTCACTAACACACTCAATAGTTATTCATTTCTCAACTTGCAATTTTTACAAGGACAAAATTACAATTCATACAATTTTTGCATGGAAAAATTGTAAACCCTCTCTTGACACACAACTACCCAAGTCCCCAATAATCCAAAGACTAGTATTTTTGTGGTGAATAGACCCAAACTATCACCCCTTATTTATAGTAGAGTCTACCACTCCCCTTCTTCAAACTACCCGATGTGGGACTTTGGAGGATACCCACACACTTTGAGCACAACATTCTCCTATCATAACTTTTTTTCCCTCCTTAACTTCTTCTTTATTCTTAACTTTTTCTCCTTTCTTAACATTTTTATTCATCTTTAACTTCTTCATCATTATCTACTTCTCCATCATTAACTTATTATTCATCCTTAATCTCTTCTCCATCCTTAACTTTTTCTCCGTCCTTAACTTATTCTCTTTCTTTCTTTAGCTTCTTCTCCTTTCTTAACATTTTCTTTAGCCTTATAGTCTTCTCCATCCTTAACTTCTTCTCCTTTCTTAACGTCTTCTTTAACCTTATCTTCTTCTCCATCCTTTACTTTTTCTCCATTCTTAACTTCTTGTCAATCCTTAACTTTTTTTCTTTTCTTAACTTCTTCTTCATCCTTAACTTCTTCTTCATCTTTAACTTCTTCTTCATCTTTAACTTCTTCTTTATCTTTAACTTCTTATCCATAATTAACATCGTCTTCATCCTTAACTTCTTCCCCATATTTATCATCTTCTTGTTCCTTAACTTTCCTTCCATCCTTAACTTATTATTTTAAAGAAATCTAGGATAAAGGTGAAGTTATATTATAATATTGTAAGAGAAACACAAACTAGTAGATATTTTTACCAAGATACTTGTCAGATAGAGAAATTTTTGTGAATAACTATGAATATAAGGAGGTATTTTGAAAATATAATTGGACTTTTTAGTTAAGCATATCAAAATTTCTATTATTATAAATTTTAATTATAAGTGTTAGTGGTTTGTTAAAAAAGTTTTTTTACGTGCAATTTTGTCAGTGTAGGAAGATGAGTATATATAGTTTTAGAAATTGCATGTCAAATAGTTTCATTACATATCTTGTAGAGATAATTCAAAATGAAAAGTTCAAGGAAAAATAAAATTGTTAATATTGTCATTATTTAGTAAGGAGTAACATATTATGATAACCATATAAAAACAATATTGCATTTTTTTTATTGCACAAGTCAATAATAAGAAGTTGAATATTAAGTATAGACATACTTACTAAGGTTTTGAAATTAAAAATATATAGATGTTCGATAAATTCTATTAGAATGGTTATTGTAAATATAACTTTGAATTAACATGAGTAATAGGAATAATTTAAATTTTGATAATATATTAACAAATTAAAACGAATTGGTCAATAGAAATCAATTTTACTATAAATTATAGATTAAACAAGTCTTTCTATTTTATTTTTCTATAATTTTTATGTGTTATAAATAATTTTTTTTCATTTTTAATCTATATACAATTAAGTACATTTATGTGTCATTCTTAATAGTAATTTGTCTTATTTTAATTAGAGGTATACATTTTATTAATATATCAACTTAAATTTTCAATATATATATATATATATATATATATATATATATATATATAAATTTAATTTTTATTTTAGAATATTTTTTGAAAAATTTATTTATGTTCTTATTGAATTATTATATTAATCTATAAAAAAATTATATCTAAGAAAATTATCTTCCATCCTTGTTATTATATTATTTCTTTATCACGTGTTCTCCCAATACTCTTTCTTATAAAATAAATAATAGTTCATATCATCGAAATTAAGTGCAATTTTTATCTTAACTTTTAACTAAAAAAATATTTTCATCATGTGTTGTCAGAATATATTCTCTAACTTTGTATTAATTTTATAAAAGGTATTTTAATAAAGAAAATTTGAGAAGTATAAATATAAAGAAAATTTGCAACATGTAAATATAAAAAAAAAGTGTGGAAATAACAATGTATAAGTTATTAGAAGATACATACAAACTTTAAATTAAGATAATAGTTTTTATAATAGACTAAAAATTATTCATGTATTATTCACCTGATATAAAAAAATGTAGTACAATAAAAAAAAAACTATTTCTTGATAGAAGAAAGTCATTATGTCTTTTTTTTTTTTACTTTTTTATATTTTTTATAAAATATTTATAAAAACATTTTTTGTTTTATAAAAAAATCCAAGTAGATAGCTAAAATAAAAATAAATATTTAACAAGAAAAAAGATAAAAATGTTAAAATTATAAAAAAAATTAGACATTAAGCAAAAGAAGGTTGAACAAGAGGTTCAAGAACAAACCCTACAAATGTGCAATTTTGATACAAGATAAAGAATCAAACTATGAATTTGTGATGTTTATGACAATCACAAGAAGTGAATCCTCCAATGATATTTGATAGAACCTAGATTCTAGTTATTTCATTGATATGACTAAAAAGTTTCTTAGTTTGGATAACTCATCAAAGTGCAAAATATGATTTACATATGATAGTAATTTCCCTATTAAAAGCAAAGATGGAAGAGAAATTATAATCGAGAAAATTTGATATGTGTGACATGAAGACAAATTAATTAAATTAAGTAAATTACTAAGAAAATAATGATTTATAATAGACAATGAAAGATAATTGTATCATGTAACATTCTAAAAGTCTCTATCAAAAACAAAAACACAAACATGTAAACACAAACATGTAAACACAAAAACAAACACAAACAAAAAGACAAACACAATAGGATGATAGTGGAAGTGTAACACATTAATAAATTATTGGTAGAATAGGATCATACTTGTAATAGGATGTACACTTGCATCTACATAAGAAATATGAAAAGGATGTGTGACAGATTTACCTTTAGCACACACATGTTTGCATCATGAGTGCTGCTAGAAAGAGAACACAATGAAAAACAAACACAAACACAAAGACAATTACCAACACAAACACAAACAACACACGAATACAAACACACACAAACAAGCAAACACAAACATAAACAAAAACATAAACACAAACCCAAACACAAACATGAAAAAACACGAAAACACAAATAGAAAGACAAATAAAACACAAACAAAAACACAACACACGGAAACATAAAGACAAACACACAAACAAACACAAAAAAAAAGACAAACAAAAAACACATACACAAATACACGCACAAACACAAAAACAAACAAACAAAAACATGAAGCCAAAGACAAAACATGCAAACAAAAACACGTGCACAAACACAAACACGTGCCCAAACAAAAATACAAAATCGTGCACAAACAAAAATACAAAAAACATATACACATACACAAACACAAATAAAAACACGAAGAAAAACACACACAAACAAGCAAAGAAAAACACAAACACAAACACAAAGACAAACACACAAAAAAAACACACAAACAGAAACACAAACACAAACACAAACATAAAAACAAACAAAAAAACAAAAACTAACACAAACGCAAACACAAAAAAAAAAGGCAAACACAGAAACATGCAAAAAGAAACAAAAACAAAAAAAACATGCAAACAGAAAAACAAACACAAATACAAATAAGAAACTTAAACACAAATATAAACACCAATACAAACAAAAACAAAAAACAAACAGAAACACAAAAACAAACATAAACATAAACACAAATACAATAGGATGATAGTGGAACTAAAAACACATTAATAAGTATTGGTGAAATTGGATCATACCTGCAATATGATGTACACTTGCACCTGCATAAGAAATATGAAAAGGAAGTGTGGCAGACTTACCTTTAGCACATATAACACACACATGTTTGCATCATGAGTGTTGCTAGAAAGAGAACTCAAGTAGAAACATAATCAAAACATCTAAAGAAATGGAGAAGAAATAGATGTGAAACAGAAACACAAATTAAAATACAAACACAAACACAAACACGCACAAAGACAAACACACAAAGAAGCAAACACTAACACAAACACAAACACCAACACAATAAAAAACACAAACACAAACACACAAAAACACAAAGACAAACATAATAGGATGATAGTGGAAGTGTAACACATTAATAAATTATTGGTAGAATAGGATCATACCTATAATAGGATGTACACTTGCACCTGCATAAGAAATATGAAAGGATGTGTGGCAGACTTACCTTCAGCACACACATGTTTGCATCATGAGTGCTGCTAGAAAGAGAACAAAATGAAAAACGCAAAAACAAACAAAAACATAAACACAAAATCAAACTAAAACACAAACACAAACATAAAAAAATACGCAAACACAAACAAAAGGACAAATACAAACACGAACAAAAAGACAACACACGGAAACATAAACACAAACACGCACACAAACACAAAAAAACAAAAAGGCATAAAAAAAACACATACACATCAACATACACAAATACACACACAAACACAAAAACAAACAAACAAAAACACGAAGCCAAAGACAAACCAAACAAACAAAAACACAACACACGGAAACACAAAGACGTGTGCACAAACACAAACACAAACTCGTGCACAAACACAAACACAAAAAAATATACACATACACAAACACAAATAAAAACACGAAGACAAACAAGTAAAGAAAAACATAAACACAAAAAAAAACACGAAACACAAACACAAAAACACAAACACAAAAACACAAAAACAACTAACACAAACACAAACAAAAAGACTAACACAAACACAAACAAAAAGACAAACACAAAAACACGCAAAAAGAAACAAAAACACAAAAAAACACAAACATAAATATAAATAAGAAACTTAAACACAAATATAAACACCAATACAAAGAAAAACAAAAAACAAACATAAATATAAATACAATAGGATGATAGTTGAATTGTAAACACATTAATAAGTATTGGTGAAATTGGATCATACCTGTAATAGGATGTACACTTGCACCCGCATAAGAAATATGAAAAGGAAGCGTGGCAGACTTTCTTTCAGCACATATAACACACACATGTTTGCATCATGAGTGCTGCTAGAAAGAGAACTCAAGTAGAAACATAATCGAAACATCTAAAGAAATGGAGAAGAAATAGATGTGAAACAGAAACACAAATTAAAATACAAACACAAAAACGCACAAAGACAAACACACAAACAAACAAACACTAACACAAACACAAACACCAACACAATCAAAAACACAAACACAAACACAAATACAAACACAAAAACAAACACAAACACAATAGGATGATAATGGAAGTGTAACACATTAATAAATTATTGGTAGAATAGGATCATACCTGTAATAGGATGTACACTTGCACCTGCATAAGAAAAATGAAAAGGATAAGTGGCAGACTTACCTTCAGCACACACATGTTTGCATCATGAGTGTTGCTAGAAAGAGAACACAATGAAAAACACAAACACAAACACAAAGACAATTACAAACACAAACAAAAACAAAAACAAAAACAAAAACACAAAACCAAACCAAAACACAAACACAAACATG